TAGACTTAGTAGTAGACTTAGTAGTAGACTTAGTAGTAGACTTAGTACTAGTACTAGCACTGGCACTAGTAATCGAGGATCGAGACTCGAGCTTGTCAAGCCGGGTCTACAAATTTCAGAGCCGGATGTCGGTGCGTTTCAATCTATATATCTACGTGCGTAGATCTGTAATGCCTCCCACAAACAGGCCAGCATCCACTTAAGAGCTCCGGCTTGCCATCGTTCTGCGGCAAAGAACAACAGGAATGGGTGCTTCATTCAAGCGTCGTCCTTCTTTGCAAGTTCCTGTCTCATATCCCTTGTGCACAGAAAGTCGAAGGTTTCAATATCATAGTCACAGAGAAAGCCAAAGTATTCTAAGGTCCTCACCTCCAATATCTGTAGGCTCGCCGACTTCTTCTTGCGGCTCTTCCTGCAAAGCTCCATAAAAACCATACTATACTGCCTCAGGAAAACAAACAGTGCCCAGAATTTTGCCTACAATCTGTCTTGGAGTCGTTGCATGCCCAGCTTCTCTAGTGTAAAGTATCGACCTTGCCACCCTTTCGTATCTCTTGGGCGGAGAGCCTGAACATCTTCCGCAGCTCATGGGCGGCCACCCTCGATGGGGATGCCACGGTGAAGGTAGTATTGGCATGTGACGGTTGTTTCTGTTTAAGTATATATATGCAGGAATACACCTCCTTGTCACAGTTTAGGTGGACCACTAAATCTCAATGTGATGCTTGCCTTGCTTGGACAAAGCGGTGAGATTGAGGTATCCTCGTTTGTAGGAACACATGAATATCCGCATAATGGCCTCTCGTTTCAGGTACTTAAGTTTCCTCAAAATCTGGGAACCAAATCATTGCATAGTGCTACGTAGCGCTTCTTCAAGTGAAGCTCCCCCCGCCCTCAGGCGGGGAGAGCTTCCTTGAGGATGCATGAGCTATACTGCGTCCAATCACTAGAAGCTAACTCAGTCATCAAACATAATTAACAAGAAAGGCCGAACTTCGATCTTGGCCTCTTTCGGGCTGCAGCTTTAGCAGCAGCTTTGTCCTTCATTTCTTGTATCTTTCCTGCGAAGGCCCACCACGTCCAGTTGGGATTGCATCTGGGCAATATAAAATAATTCCTGGGTCGTCGGTTAATTTCGTTAAATTCAAAAACTGAATTTAGTGACGTCGTCGAAATTACGAAATTATGGTGACGTCGTTGTGCCCTAACGCCCCCAGCCAGCCAACACGCTGGCCAGCCAGGGGCGACCAAAGCTGAAGCCACGTGTCCACCTGCGCGCGAGAAGGCTCTGGCTAGTGGAACTGGAGCGATTGCAGTGGGTCTTTTGTGGTTCACACAATTTTTGTTCGTGTAGTTTGTTCACCAGCAATAAGTTTGGTCGTTCGTACAAAGATCAAGAGCCAGCTCAGCAAGCACAATGGATTTTTGCCAGGGAGGGAAAACTATTGCTTGAGGTCCGCGACACAAAGTGCAAGACCACCATTTCCTCTGACTGGGTGTTTTCCTCAGCTTGGCTAGTACATGCAAACTTGACAACACGCAAAGGAAAGCTAGCCAAAACCAATTTTTCCCAGCGTAGTTTGCCGAGCTACAGCCTGATAAAGCCCCAACAATCCACTTTCAAGGCCGCCAGGCCTCAAATCCTAGTTCGGCAAACTAGGCCCGAAATCGTTTTTGGGGACCCTTCTGAAAAGGAGAGCTTCGTTTCCAGGCCCAGATGGGGAAACCCGACAACTATCTTGAAACAAGCCCCTGTAGTGAAGCAAACTCGCGTCAGGACCACATGTTTCACCTATGAGATTGGCAAAGTTTATGGGTTCGATTCCCCTTGCCCCCCTCCTGTTTCCTTTCGTTGGCCCAAAATCTTGCTTCAAGACAAATTTGACAACACGCAAAGGAAAGCTAGCCAAAACCAATTTTTCCCAGCGTAGTTTGCCGAGCTACAACCTAATAAAGCCCCAACAATCCACTTTCAAGGCCGCCCTGCCTCAAATCCTAGTTCGGCGAACTAGGCCCAAAAACGATTTGGCCAGGAAAGAACCAGTCAGGTTGGGCGTGAAAGGGAAAACAACCAAACCATCACTACTTCAAGTTCCAAGGATCTTTTCTGTCCACAAGATCTGGCTGAATGGTCCGTCTCTGAGAGGCTTTGGGGCTAGGGAACACGCTTGGCCGAACGCGGTCCGTAGGTGTTGTTGGGCACTCATCATGGCTGGAGGGCCGCTTCATGGGGGGGCACAACTAAAAGAACTTCAAAACTTCCCGACCTCGAAATTGGGCAGTGTTTTTTAGTGGTGTGGAGAGTGAGCAGGTGAGGCATGACTTCTTATTTTTTTGCAAACTCGAGCCCGAAAACTCAAGCAAAACTCCAACTGACTGACATCCTCTTCCCCATGCAAATCCAGTCCTAGATCCAGTGCCCACGCCCGCCCGCGCCTCCAAAATCTCTGCCAGGACTGTGAAGTCGATGAAGTGTATGTGTGTGTGTGTGTGTTTTGCGTGTGTGTGTGTGTGATGTTAGTATGACCATATACCTTAATTTCAGCTTGCTCGTTAATTTCAGGTGACGTCGGTGACGTCGTTTTATATTGCCTAGATTGCATTGATTTACGTGGATGATGGACAATTCATCCCACTTCCCAACTAGTTTTGTGGGACGTTACAAGCAGTCATCGGCAAGACTATGATTTGCAGCATTTCATCTGCACTGCACTGGTTTCTCAAGTGAAATTAGCTGCTTCACTATGTTGCATGCACGTGTGCCTCATGACGGTAAAACTGCCAAAGTAAGTTCGCGAAGCATTCACACATCTTCACACAGGATTTTGATTGGGATTTGCTGTGTCTAGGTGGCCGAGTGATGTTTGGCCGTTTCAGTGTTGACAACATCCTTTCAATTGGACATGTCTGCCAGCTGCGGACATTGGAGCTGCGCCTCTCTTCAAGCCTCCAAACTTGATCTCTTCCTCACTGGCTCCTCACTTGGCCCACCGGACCAAGGGTTCATCTCAAAGAGCCAAGACCCAATCTGCGAGAATTGATGAACAAGACCCGGACTTCCACTGCTTGGACGAATGGAGATGCTCGTGGATCGCCTCTCCGAACTAGCCGAACCAGCTCACCAGAATTCAACCAATATGCGCAATATGCTGGTGCATTCTCTGTTTGACCAGGCTGGGCTATGCATCCCAACCGAAGCAAAGTTCATCTACTCTGGGTTTGGGCGCTAGGTTCTTGACACACAGCCAACTCACCAACGGTGGAAGGATGTGAGCCAATTCGTGACAATGGACGGAAATGGATGCTTCTGATCATGGACATGGGACATGGGATGCAGCCTTTTTGCCGCCGCTTGGAAAACGGCCGTTAAGAAAAAGCAAAACACTAGAAACATATTAGAAAGGCAAGGCAAGGATTTCATGATGGGGAGGGCTCAAGATAGCTTTACCAAGTTAGGATCGATTCGGAGCTCCAATGTCACAATCGTGGTGGCACGCCGAGAGCTTGCAGCAGCGCTGCCAAGCCAAACAAATAAGTGTTTCAGTGGGAGAGACCTCTAGGTTGGAAGGCACCAACTTGTGCTACAGATGTTCGTTTTCGGCACGAATCTACGAGGGATACCAAGCCTCAAGCCTGCGCCGCGCCACATCTTGGGCCAACAGGTTGAATCAGGTTGAAGTTGGAGTGATTATTTAATTCTTTGGTTTCTCAACGATGGGACATGATGGGACCTCTGAAACTTCCGCACACAGAAAGATTTGAACAAACGTTGGAAATTCCATGCTTTACATGGTGCGGCAACCAGCGACCACAGAGGAAAGAGTGGAGGCTGAAGAAGGCTGCTTTCCATAGTGGCCCTTTGGTAACCAAAGTGTACCGAGAAAAAGTGGAAGCTTAATGCTTCCATGGTGGCTTTTGGCAAACAGAGTTTAGGAATATTCAGTGCGTCAGTCTTTTGCTGTATATATACACTTCTTTCCGGACCCCAGTACCAAGTCGTTGCCTTGCTTTTGCCTGAAGGGGTCGACTGCCTTTTTCTTGTGGCCCAGCTTTACCTCCAAGTGAAGATTGGCTGGTGCCGTGGCCACAAACAGAGTCTGTGGCAAGAGCAAGAAAAGAGAACGAGTCGGGAATTGCTCCTGAGGGACCAAGGAACACATACAGTAGATCACCCCCATCAATCCAAAATCAATGGAAACCGTCCCCAAAAAATGTTTTGCTAAAGCAACACACACTAGGGTTGCTGAAACAACCTTTCGTGACCTTTGGTGCAGCCCCACCTTTTCGGTTCTGCTCCTGCCAGCTCCGCCTCCTCTTCCGCTTTCAGGCGTTCCTCGATTTGCTCCAGCAGCTCGCGCATCTGAGCATGAGAGCGGTTTCCCACCCGTTTCGGTGACATGCACCGAATAGGGCCAGGGGAAGAACCCCCCTGTGGGTTTGTCTGAAAATTGTTTCGACCCCAATCCAGTGGACCGGTGGGTTCTTAACAGCAAGGCACACATGTAAGTAGTTCATCTCTTGTGATTGCTGACGCCAACCACATTGTCACATGATCACCACCAATTCAACAAAAATTGGAACGCAACTGTTGGTGGCACGGTGGAAATGCAAAGAATTGTGTCTCCAACTTGCTCACGCTGATACCGACCTGTTCTTCGGGGTAAGCCGCTAAACCCAATCAAATCTCAAACAGGTCATCCGGCTCATCCTCAGCCTGGCCTGAAATGCTTCCCATGATAAACGCACTATAAACCGCGAGCTCAGTACAACAAAATTTATGTCTATGTGCCCCACCTCCCAGATACCCGCCCCGACCTTCCTCTCTCTTCGCAAGGCTCTGTCCTGTGTGTGTCAAACAAAGGACACCAAAGCAGTCGGGATAAAGGACGTACGGTCTGATTGCACCCAGCCCTGGACACCTCGGTGTGAACAAAAGCCTAAGTGGTGCAAAAGGCACCCAAGGAGGGTGAATGTAGCGGGCTCCAACCACATGCGTATGCGTGTAGTTCAAGGAGTTAAGAGTGAGATCAATCCGACAATGGAATCATTCGAGAGAACAGCGCACTCAGAAAAATGGTAAGCCATCAGTCGGCACTTTCAAGCTCCTAAGCGAGGAAGGCAGTATGGTCTCAAGTGAATTGAGTGATGGGAGTGCGGCAAGGATAGGCAGCCAAGGGAATCTGAACCTGTGTCACAAGGTCATCATAGAGCAGAGAAGGAAAGGTTGTCAGAGGGATCTGGACTTGGGCAATCGAGTCGGGCGGCAGGAAGGCAGGAAGGAAGCAAGCAAGCAAGGAAGGGCAGGTGCACTCAACAAAAGCACTCCCTATAATCCAAGAATTACAAATATACAATAATATGGCCACGACAATTCTGCTGGGGGGGTCCTGCAAGTCATTTTATATAATATGAATTGGTGGACTCAACCCCCAGACCATCATATTTCATATATATTCTCTATGAAATGACCCTGCCTGACCTAACCCTGAAATACCATGGAATTTATTAAAATGACTCCGCCTGACGTTGGAAACCCCTACCTGGCATGCCCTATTTGCACCTCATGTTCCTTCCCCTGAGGCCATGACAAATCTGAAACAAGAATTGCAAAGCGACATGACATCACAAGCACAGAGCACGTCAACTGTTTTCATCTTATGTTTCTCGCTTCTCTCTGGTTTGTGTTCCCAGTGTTCTCAGCCAAAAGTTCCTGCTTCAGTCCCGCCAACTAACCCCAACAGATTTTTTGAATGTTTCACACAAACAGCAAAGATACACAAACCAAAACACACAACTTGAGATACTTTCAGCTAGATGATAAACATGTCTGGGAACCTGTGGAACAGGCTGCGCAATGCATGTCATTGAAATTTATTTGGACAAATTACGGCAACTGAGTATTGAAGATGTCTCAAGAGAACGGCCTCCAGATTGGGCACATCCTCAAAATCATCTCAAACTTTAACAAATATGCAAGTCAAAATGCTTTGTTTCAATCTTGTTGTGTTTTCTTGTCTGTATTTTGCCTCTCTCTTTGTGCACATGCTTTCTGACCAGTATAATTTTTGGGTCTCTCTCTGTTTTCTTTCTTGTAGTATTTTCAAGGAATTCTTACAACCAAGAAATCTGGTACTCACCGGCGCGCGCGATGCTCATCTCAATTCTGCAACACACACTGAAAACACACGTTTTCCTCTATAAAATGAGGGCCTAACGTCCCCAGGGGGGGGGTCATAAAACGTTTTATGACACGCCTTGACCCTGGCCATTTTATAGAGGATACAATAATATACATACATGCCCCCGAGTAGGTGGCGGTTAAAGCACATGTGCGCGCGCAAAAGAGGACAAGGACATGAAGGAAGCACATGAAGCAGCACGGGGTGCATGTGGAGGTGATGACCGGGGACAACCGATGAGCCAAACCTCATTGTACCAAGACCTGGGGCCTAGCTTCACAGTGTAAGTGCACGTACGTACTAAGGTTGGGGCCGATGTGTACGCAGGAGAACAACAGTTATTAAGGGTCTGGCCAAAGTCACTTGAACTCAGTGTCAAAGCTGCGGCCGCCAGTCTTAGTGCGGCTCGTGCTGTCCGCTGTGGACAGCTTCTGGCATAAAAGCCTGCTCCAGTTGATACCAAGTCGTCAGGTCTTAATCAACGTTTGCCATTGATGGCTCCTGCTGTCCGCTACAGACTCCTGCTGTTGCCAAGCGCAGCTACTTCACCCATCAGTTCGACATACTTCGGGCTCACTCCGGGCTTTCACAAGGAGATGAGACAGACTCGGGATAAAGGACGGCCAGCGGTGGAAACCTCGGTGTCAACAATAGCCTAAGTAGTGCAAAAGGAACCCAGCTATGGAGAGTGAAAGTAGCGCGCTCCAACATGCTCCAACCACATACATGTATAGTAGTTCAAGGCTCCAAGCTCTGAGATCAATCCAATGGAATCATTCGAGCAAACATCGCGTTCAATAAGACGGTCAACCATCAGTGAGAACTGATATCCTCACCGTCACCTTGCATTACCAGCTTCGTTGATAGATATTTTTCGGAACAAACCCCGGCAAAAACTGCATCGACAGGTAGAGGAGTAGAGACAGTACATGACAGTACCCTTTTCTCACGTGGAGGAATCTTCGTCCATCTGCCACTTCACGTGACAAGGGTCTCCTGCGCCTTGGTGGAAAGTCGAAGCGCCCTGGCGTCAAAGGAAACTGCAGGAATTGGCTCGTTTCTTTTTGGAAAATCTAATCTGAGGGCAAAAATTTGGCAAGGGCATATGCAAAGCAACTTGCAACCTTCACGCGCAAAGAGCACGGGATGAAGATGGACATCCTCAGCCTTCTCAGCACCTATAAAGGCTTTCGGGGAATCTTAAGCCAAGCCGTTCCTGGTCGTTTCTGAGATCAGCCCGGCCTTCGGCAGCAAGCCTGTGTGCGGAGCGAACATTCCCTCAAGCGTGCCCCAAGGCGAACCTCAGTACGCCATCAGCGCGAGAACGCCATCAGTACACTGGACTACATACTATAATTTGAGTATACCCCGTATTTCCCAGAACCAGTAACAGTGGAGGATGGTCAGAAAAGCCCTTTCTCGAAAATAGTGATAATCCGACTGTTGCAGGTCATGGGACAAACCCTAACTAATTACTATCTATAGTATATATATACAGTACTATAATTGTATCTATGACTATTCCGAGCCGCCTGAAGTCTCCCACAAACCGCACATGGCCAAACGAGGTCTTAAGGCAGCAGTACTAAACTTACTAAACTGCCGAAGAGCTCTTCGCTGCAGCCGTTCCACCGCGAAAGTGAACCGAAGGCCAACGCGGTACAACCTCGACGTCGAGGCGAATGGCTTGAAGAGCACACATGGTGTCAAAGATTTGGAGCAAGGACGCTACTAGGGGCTCCTGGCATCGCTACTAGGAGCAAGGACGCTACTAGGGGCTCCTGGCCGTACTACTAGGAACAAGAAGCTACTAGGGGCTCCTCAGATGAAGCCATGTAATTGCCGTGTGGAACTGATAGAGGGTGCTTGCAGAGCAAAGGCAACATTGCCAGGGCTTTGCATTCTCTCACATCTGCATGTGAGGAACATAGCGAAACAAACGATGACTGTCTTGGGGCCCTGACAGCTCAGAATGCTTGCACGCAAAACCCACAGCGATGACCGTCGCAATGGGCACCTGAAATCGTGTTGATGCCTTCCCAGAATGCCACCCATCCCTCCACTGCAAGAGTAAGATCCAAACTTAGAGAACCGGGTGGCTTTTTGCAAGCATGCCGTCAAGCTTCCATACCCAAGCCCATGCCCATACTGCGATAAATGTGGCTTTGCGTTGTGATGGTGCGAAGCTGGGCCGTTCATGGCTGTTCGCTGGGATCCCTCACTAGCATGCCCACAGCGCACAGCACCAGAACCCAAGTCCAGGGCTCTTCCCAAACCTGGACGAGGCGGTCGAGGTGCTCAGAAACTTCAGTCGAAAGCACAAAACTGCCGAATAGGTCGAGAAGAAAAACTGATGAACGCTGATGAACAGTGACAATACCATGCCAAAGACTTCCAAGGTGGCTGGCCACCCATTACAACATGAGCCCTCCATTGTAATTATATACATCGATCCTATTGCATCCCATGGCACCCATCTCTGCCTGCACTTCGCTGATCTGCGGCCGCCCCCTCTCGTCCACCGTGCTGAACAAGCGACAGGCCCTCAGGACTAAAGACTCAGAGACGGCTATTCTCACCATGTCTCACCCAATGATGCTTGGGGGTCTTCCCAACTGATTGAACATCGTGCAACATCTAGCAGTTGAGATGTTAACGGACTTATGGGGGTTAAGCCGGATGACGGACGTGTGGAGTTGTCTTGCCGTTTCCAAAAAATGCTTCAAACATACATACTACATGCAGTTGCTAATGGGCAGACTCGTGTGACAGGGCAAACCTTCTCCCAACTTTTTGTTTGGATAAGTTGATCCACCTGAATCTAACATATATACCTGAGAAAGGAGAGGATGAAAGCCAGCGAGAGACCAATATGGTAGTGCAAGACTGAGAAGAAAAAATAGCGTACCACTTATTGTTGAATGCCTGTAGCTTTGGTGGAGCTTGTGTCAACGTTGAGTAGATCAAGATCGGAGCACAGCATGAAGCGTTGAATGTTTTAGGTTTTCTCGATTTTCCTGGCGCGGTGCTCTCTGGAGCGTCCTATTTGAGAATCCGTGTAAAGGTGGCTTTTGGTTGTTTTCAAGTGTGTTTCGGGCATTGTGCATCAATGCGAAGCCATATAAAGAGCAGGGCTGGGAGAAAAAAAAGGAGAGCACTCATTCTTGAATGGTTGTAGTTTTCGTGGAGCTGGTATCACTGCGACGTAGATGAAGATCGGAGCACAGCATGAAGTGTTGAATGTTTTTAGTATTCTTGATTTGCTTGGTGCGGCGCCTTCTGGAGCGTCCCTTGTTGGTGTTCTACTTGAGAATCCGTGCAAAAATAAACGTGAACACCAGGAGAATGATGCCCGAAATGGTTCTTGTTGTTGTGTTGAAGTGTGTTTCGGGTATCGTGCATCAATGCGAAGCCCTATAGAGAGAGCAGGGCTGGGAGGAAAAAATAGCAGAGCACCTATAGTTGAAAGCTTGTAGTTTCGTGGAGCTGGTATCACTGCGACTGAGATCAAGATCGGACATGAAGTGTTGAACGCTTGCAGCTTTCTTGCTTCTCCTCTTGCGGCGCTCTTATCCCCAAGCCTCTACCTCGCCCAACTGGACATACTCACATCGTCCGTTCCCAGAGCGTTCACTCTTTGTTGCTTGGTCCTTCTTGGTATGATCAGAGCTACACAGTCCCTATGCCCTGCTCAGGACTCTCCAGTCCCCTTCAGGATGCTAGTGATGCACTACTCGGCGACCATTGCATCACTCGCATCACCAGACACCATTTTCACTGCTTTTCTGACCCTCGCTTTGGAGCGCTCTCCCCCAGCAAGCTCCGGGTTCACCCTCTCAAAAGGTGCCTTTTCGCACCCTCCCCCTTCCACACCCCCTTAACTCACTTCGTTCGCTCTCAGAGCTCAAGCCTAGCCTATCTGCAGGTTTGAAAAAAACCTTAAAGCGATGAAAAACAAGGATTCCTTGACAATGACTAAGGACCTGTGCTGGAAACCTGTGTTTGAAAACTGCCATCATAGGAACCAAGGGGTGTTGAAAAAGGTGCCAACTGCTCATGTCATGATGCATGTGATTTCTCTCTGACACATTGATTTCAGCATATTTTTTTTCCCCAATAGCCATGCTATGGGGTCTTGCAAAACTAATAGGCGGACGGGCGCCGTCGGGTCACCGTCAGAGCTGGTGGGCGGATGGTGTCCCGGTCATGTTTCGATGGTGTCCCGATCATGTTTTGACTGTGACCCAGTCATGTTGTGATGGTGTCCCGGTCCTGTTTTGATGGTGTCCC